AGTCCAGCTCTTAATCATTTGCGCCACCCAGGGTCTCCTGTGGACCCGAATAAAAAGTACTTAGTTGGAGTGCTCATGTAATGTCTCAATAAATATAGCATACAAAACACTGTGATAAGCAGAAAACAAGCCATTAGCGCTAGCCCAGACATAGCTCAAACAACCCAAATACCAGAGATTCTAGATCACGGAATTTTGTTCGGAAAATTAGGTAAGATGTTACATGAAGAAATGTTTAGATTATTTTCGGTCACTGTAAGGAGATGAAAGGATAGGAGCCCAAAACTCTACGGTTCACCCAGCCGCTCACCCGGGGTGCCAGGGTGCGGGCTGCAGCCCCGCAGCGTAGAGACATCCCTTCTTTGGGTTTAGTGGGGTCCAGAGGCCAAGAGATTAATCGATTCCAGGGAAAGAACGGATCGACAGCTGGAAGTTGAGCTGCTCTGCGATTGGCTGCTTTAGCCTTAGAGGCGTCGCTCACTCATGACGCAATACGCAAGGCCCGTTACAGGCTTCAAAAACGTAATGACGAAATACGTTCTCTCTTTGCCGCATCTACTGCGAGGTGAGGGTGAATTTGATTTTTGTGGGCCCGGGGATCTGAAGACATCGGCTTTGGGGAAGCCGACGGCGAGAGTCTGGCGTGCAAATCCATTACTTTGGTTGTTACCCTGCGCAGCGAGCCCAATATGGACCTGGAGGCGCCAGGATTGGGGCCCTATCCTGGGCTTTTAGGCTATACCCTCATCCTCGCCTCAGCTATTCCGGAATGGCGCGGTCATGATGGGGCTTCTAGGGCTGGAGAAGTGGTTTCGGCCTGACGTTAAGTGACCGGGGCTCATAACACCCGTTTAGAGGTTGCACTTTCCACGCGGATACGTACCAGTGCCCTCGCTCTGACGTCTGTTCACTTCTCTCCCGGGGTTTTTGCTTGGCATTCTCGGAAGGAGTGAAACTCTGCGTGGTAGTTTGGTGGAAAACAGGCCCTGAGCTGGCTTTCTTACTCCGAGTGTTTGTGTTTCAGAATGAAGACCATTCTCAGCAATCAGACTGTCGACATTCCGGAAAATGGTATGAACTTGATGTTTGCATTATCTTTTTATCTTTATTACATGCGCTATAACTTGTTCTGTGGTCTCACGAATATGTTGTGTATTTCAGTCGACATCACTCTGAAGGGACGCACAGTTATTGTGAAGGGTCCCAGAGGAACCTTGCGGAGGGACTTCAATCACATCAACGTAGAACTCAGTCTCCTTGGAAAGAAAAAGAAGAGGGTGAGATTTTCAACTGTTGTCATCAGGGGTAGCGCTTACTACCGTTACGAGTTAAGATTAACTGAAAAGTTTTTCTCCTCATGATTGTTTTTGTCAAGCCTGATAGTTTTGCTTCCATAAAATCTGTTGGAAATTCTATAGCAGTTACTGTTTTCAGGATGCCATTCTTGTTGTGAAACGTGCACCACTGATTCATAGTATTAGAAAGGTTTGTTAAATATTCAGGATTACTTAAGTGTCTTCCAGTTGAAAGTCGTGCTTTAATTAGGGTTAACGCTGCAATCAAGAATAATTGAATGAATAAATGAACTATTTGAAGCTTGCTTATTTCTGGAGAAAATTCTCTTAATAGGAAGTTTTTGTTCTATTACAGCTTCGTGTTGACAAATGGTGGGGAAATAGAAAGGAACTGGCTACAGTTAGGACTATCTGTAGTCATGTACAGAACATGATCAAGGGTGTTACACTGGTAAGCAGATTGGTCAAATTTTGTTTTGGGGGGCAGGTTT